GTTTACGACATTTGAATAGACGACAACTTAGTTGGTGAGTAACGGGATGAGGCTGTGCTCTACAGGAGTTTTTTCTCACGAGCCACTTGCACGGAGAGAGGGGGAGCACGAGATCACAGGCGCAGGGGCCCCGTGGAAAACAGTTATCCGTAGAAGATCAGTATACCACTCTTGTCACCCTTGCTAGAAACCCTCACCTACCCCAGAAGACCAAGGGATTGGTGGAGATTCTTTTTAGAGCTTGTGGGAGAAAAACTGCTCAAAACGAGCATCATAGCTTTTGGGGGACACATCATAGGAGAGTAGAAAGTCTCCCCCGGCTTCGACATCCGGACGGGCAAACTACGATCCAATCATCGGATCAAGGCAAAACAGTAGAAAACTAACCCCTTACTCTTGTAATGTCTGAATCAGTCCAAGGGCGAGAGCGAAAGGAAGCCCAGTCTCGTTGTGCGGTAGAGTTGCGTCGGGTCGGGATATGGTTCACGGGTTGGCCTGGGTTTTAGAGCTTAGGGTTGGATTGGCTGTTGAGAGCAAATCTGAACGCACTTTTGATAGGCTTTCAAGGATCTGAGGGTGGATTGGGCCTATGACGAGATGGGATGAGAGAGGAAGGGGTAAGGGATGGTGTAAGTGGTATTCTGGCTGGCATGACTCGTGGAGGTCTAATTGTGGGCAGGTTACGCAAAAAAACACCGTTTCTTGGCCGTTAGCTTAGACCTTTGCTCGAGTTAAGCTTCAGGATACGGATACGTTGCTCGAGAAAAGGAAGAGGCTGAACCGTTGCGGGGAACGGGTGCGGAAACCTTTGGTTACACCCGAACCGAGCCGGCTTCCTGGTGGATATCCGTCTCTCGGTCCTCTCCGTGATGTGGGGATAGGCCCGGCGGCGCAAAGTGGGGTCTGGATGAAAGACCTTCAGTCTTCATCACCTAATTTTTGCCATTGTGCCATGAATTTTGCCCACGAGGAAAGCCAGGCCGCAGACGGAGACATGGCAGTCTTAGCGGCAGGAGAGTTGAGAGGAAAAGATGCATAAAGAAGGTAGGCTTTGCTGCGCCTAGATTACGGAATGTGCAGACATGATACTGATTACCCCAAAATTGGGTTTCTCGGTGCTAGTATTGGAGTTGAGGAAGGTCCAATGAGACGGAGATGCGATGGCCCCAGCGCTTGCATGTGTATGAGGTGATGGAGGTGCCGCGTGGAGGGGTTACCTTACACATGTCATAGTTGGCTGACCTGACGTACCCTTATCTACTAGCTGCAGTTGCAGCCGGTTTGCCGCCATATCTCGTGATGTTCTTATGCCAATACCTGCATACCCCTTCTCATATTCTTTCTAATTTGGTGCTTCAGAGTGTATGATTACCCAGAGCAACTTCAATGCGTCGTCAGCTAAATGTGGCCGTGGGTTCGTCGCTCTCATCTCATGGAGGGGAACCTTTTTACTTTGCCCCTCATTCTTCAGCCAGTCAATTAGCTCCCGCGGAACGCAAGACAACGGATCTCGATCTCTGAACGGTTGTATGCAACTGTACACGTGGTCGAGGCGGTCTACATTAGCCCAACAGCATGTGCAAGGAAGCGTGCGTCGCGTAGATCTGACCTTTCCCTTTCTCGGTATCTGAGATCTTTTATCCCCCAATTTCACCTTTCGCTTGCGCCTCCCCCCCCCCCCCCTCACCTGTACCGCCTTACGTGAACAAAGCGTCTCCACGGTCTTTCCGTGTCTTTTCCCGCATCTCCTACTAGTAACCCTACCACCCGCCAGGAAGGAGTCTCGGGTTATCGGCTCTATCATTCCTGGGCAGGGTCATGGTAGGGTCAGCCTCAAATCATTCCGCGTAGTGTTCCATGGACTTACTCAATTCGATGGTTTGTACTACGTGACAACACGAGTCTTCCGAGATACGAGATGCCTGCTGGAGCGCCATCCCATGCACTTCACAACTCTGTCCCATCTTTAGTTTCTCCGATGCTCCGCTCCCTCTCGCACTCGTCTCGTGCTGCGGCCCCACATCCGTTCGCCTCAAAGCTGCCTTAGTACCGTGGCTTGCACTATTCACGTGCGTGTGTGCTCGAACTCGATATTGAAGTATCGTAGTCGGGGCCTCTCAAAATCACTGCCCGATGACGACCTCAAGGAACGCAGTGACCATAAAGCAGAAGAGGAGAAAAAGAGAAAATACCAATGTAGAAAGAGAAGGAAACCGTAATTCTTCATGTTCATCCTTCTCGACATTGGACCACGAGATCCTTAAACTAAGAACTCTATCTTTACGTATTCCGTGGATCCCACGCCATGGATCCCAAGGGAGTAATTCAACGAGTCAAACGGACTCTACTACCCGTGCTTTGGATACAGAGTCCGAGGGGAGTTTGTAAAGACGCATACCGGATCGGCGAATAGAAAGCAGCGCTGCGGGCGTAGGCAAGTAAGAAGAATCTGCGAAGATTAGGCGAAAGATTTAACGCGCGGAAACAAAATGCCTGCAGCTCCCTCGCACTTGCAACGCCTGCCTACTACGGTAGGCAAATCCATCTCATCTCTTCCTCCACAAGTCCTTTAACCTTGTTATGCTATGCAAGTATTTGGCCGTGCCAAGACTTTGAGACACAAGCATGTTCACAGAAACGCGAACGGGAAAAGGCACGTTCGTTCCCTTTTGGCGTCTGCTCCCCTTAGACAGTAGATTACTAGCCAGGAACCTTTGCCACGTTATGCTGGATAGCGGTAGCCAAATCCCGAGAAACATGTGCGGCCCAGGAGTCTAAATCATACAATCTCTACAGTCGCGGGAGCCAGGCGGTGCCTCTTGCGTTTTGGCAGTATAGCGTAGGGTAGCAACGGAGCAGAATTCCGGGAAGGAGCTTAGCAGGCAAGGCAGGGGTACGCCATGGCTATAAGGTTTCTTCTATTCGGGCCATGGTGTATGGGACAAGGAACAGCAGCCTTCCAAATCCCATCACCCAGAGTCAGGAAATCAACTCTATTGACATTTGTTGACTCAAAAAGAGGGAATAGTTGCTTCTGCTGCTGCCTCTTGTTTTGCCCCAAAGCAGCATGCTCCGAGGATTTTTGCTTCGAATCATGGATGATGCCTCCTCCGCAAGACCCCCGTATTATTTAACAGGAAACCCCATCCTGCGACCAGGGAGGTTGTCCGTACAGAATGATGATGGAAGAGGGACCGCTCCATGGTGCGAGGCAGCGGGAAAGAGCCAAGACCGGGGAGACTACAAGCCTTCCCGGTCTGTTTTCTGGAGTCGTAGTTTAACATGACTTATGGGGCCTTGTCACCAAACGAGATCTCGATTATAGGCTGAAGGGAACCTGATACTCTGTGCGGGTCGGTCTCAATGGCCACCAGCGGCCGTTTGGTATCTTACCTGCGCGAACCGGGCCAGTATAGCGCGCGAAAACCCGCGTTTTGGAGCTTTGGTCCTTGTTCTCGTTTGCCTACACAGCCAGCTCAATCTTTTGATGGAATCCCGAGAGTCTCAGCGCCCTTCTCAAACATGTCAAAAATAGGGGATGGGAGGCGACGGGTAAGACCGAGGAAATTCCCACGTGTCACGGAGTTCCCAAAAGCCAAGCCAAGCCAAGCTCAGCTCTCCCTCCACCCCCAGAAACCACAAATACACGCACGCATGAAGAAACGTCTCTCTCGAACAAGGAAATAGGGTAGGAAGGCGTCAAACGGAGTGAGACTCCGATGTTCTGACAGTCCAACCACATGGTTGTAATTTCTTCCTGCCCTCACACGAGGGAAACCGGGACGCCGCACACCCATTCCATCCCTCCTATCCAACCACATGAAAAGAAGAGCACAGCTTCGCCAGGACGAAACCCACGTGGGATCAAAGAGGCGACACTTCCGACGCCCGCACACTCGGGATTCTTTCTCGTCTTGCGTCTTGCATTGGGCTTTGGGCTTTGGAAAATCCTTCCCATCGGGGTGGCCTTGTGTGACACAAAACACATGGCGGTCAGGTATGTCGGACTTAGAAATACGGTTGGTCACAACTTTACAACTGTACACCAAGACGGACCACAACCAATCCAGACCCAAGGTTTTCACTAGAATGGCCGTAGAAGCCTGTTCGGCAGATTTGGCGGTGTGTACGGATACCTACCTTTGGAGAGGAGATAGCACACACACATACACACACACACACTGAATCACTCCAATCAAATCCACGTCAGCCCAACCCATCCACCCAAGTCCCAGATCGTGTCGAGAACAACGTGGCAGACACGGGGGTTGAGCGGTGGCGGATCTGCAAGTCGTGCCTTAGCTCGAGAATCCAGATTCCTCTACCTCTGTAGCAGGCGAATGTTGTGCTCCCCTCCCCTCCCCCACCTCGAATCCACCCCTTGCCACAATCGTTCGGTTTGCTGGCAAATCACATCAGGACGGCAGATGTCCATTCACCTCAAGATGGGATTTTTACTCATGAGACTACTGAATATTGAATGGGATCACGGGCAAAATACAAGTTCTGTACGTAGGTGCGGAATCATCAAAAATATTGAGACTAGTTTAGGATTGAGATTCCCGTGTTTTTAAGCCCGTTTGTGAATACGGCAAAATGTAACATGGCCCATCTCTGTTTCTCCACGAGGCCTGCCGATTCGTTCGTTCAAAGGTATGATATGAAGACCAATTAATTCTTTTTTGGCCTATCCTGAATCCTGTGATATATCCTTCTCTTTGATGCAATAGTAACCCAAAGCTCATGACTAGTATCATGCTTCTCAGCACCGAAGACAGTTCAAACCCTGTATGTGAACTTCTGCCAGTTCCCGTCATGAAGTAACCGCTCGTCCGTGAGGTATGTGTAGACCAGAATCCGTGTACCGCCTACCCATAAGCCGTGATGTGTATATAAGTGTGTAAAGGTGAGAAATATGACAAAGGTTGCCCTCCCGATGGTGTCCATCGTGGTATGATATCAAAAAATTGGAAGAAAAAAAGAAAAAAAAAGTCGTCCTGTACCCCCCAATAAGGAGGCAGTCCAAGCCCAGAAAAAGCAAAGCCGTAGTTACGCCCCAACGATGTTGTTCATGAGGTTCTTGTTCCCCTAATCGCGCCATGAAGGTCGGAATGGAAAGTGATGCCGCCTAGAAGAATGCAGTTGGTTTCGCCCTTGTGATAGTAAAACCCCCCCTCCTATCATTAGCGCTTTCCGGCCGTGATTTTCGTTCGTGAGCCAGCGGCGTATTTGTCAAAGTCCGAATCGCGCCCGCTGATCGGTCGAGTTGACCTGTTCGACTCCGCGTACCCTTCTTCAATATCCATCTCCTCGAACACGGCTGGCGTCGGCTTCGACTCTCGCTTGATCGTGGTTGTTACGTAGACACCGCTCACAGGCACCGACCCGGCCGATGATGTCCTGCGCGTACGTTCTCCCTCTGACGAAATCTTGTCGTCGCTGGTGGCAGAGTTGGAGCGTCGGCTGTCCAGCGAAATCTCGCCAACATCGCCCATGACGTGCTTCTGGCTTGGTGCGATGTGGGGCGAGTAGGGAGCGCCGTCCGGACGGCGGAAGTCTTCAACGAACGGCTCGCCTCGGGAATTACCGCTTGACGAGCCGATGGTGGCTTGGTTATCCTTCGAAGTAACCCACTGTACAACAATGGCAGAGAAAAGGACTAGAGGGAGGTCAGCTATGACCGCAAGGATAAGGTCAGAAGGGTGGTGGACATACTGTCGCTGTTGCAGCACATTAGGCAGACCCAACCGGGCTCACCGTTGAGGACCATGAGTACGGTCAAGTTACTGTAGCGAGTCAGAAACCTTGAGCTTAAGTTAAAGGTGTGCTCAACTTACACAATGCTGCTGGTAAGCGTGCACAGGGCACCGACAAAAGTGCGGAGGGCGACGCTTCTAAGTCGGATGTTTGCAGGTGTTTTGGGGAAATGCTTGAATGAGTAAAGACCTGCGATAAGTTAGCCTCATAGTTGCGTGACTGGCTTGTTGGAACGCCTGGCTGGGCTTACTCTTGAGAGGAATGAGGAAGAGAATGGTAAGGTAAACGTTGACGACGGCGTCAAAGGAGATGAGAGGAATCATCGAGACCTTTTGCATCCCGATGTAGCATTGTCCGTCGTCAATTCGTGTAATTCGGCTATTCTGGTATTAGCTGTGGACTTTGGTACTGATGATTCGGCGTTGGCTTACAAGATAAAGTTGAGAATAGCAATGACTGCGTAGACGCCAAGCATGCCAAACGAGTTGAACAGGTAAAGCTTGGACTGCAGTCTCGGTTTCGTTGCTCCTCTGATAATGTGCTTTTGGAGCGTTAGCTATGACCTTTGGTTTGCCTCGTGGATTCGATATACGTACTGCTTTCTCGACAAGGAAGAGATAGATCAAGACTTTTGTCGAAAGATAGCAAACTAGGCATAGTAGGATTGCACCGTCGCAAATTTGTACGTTCTTGTTGACACCGAGAGCGAATTGGAGAACCGCTGTGACGAAGACGAAGAGGTACGAATCGATATAAACGGCGAGCACGACTGTGATTTTCATTAGCATCGCAGATACCCGCCAACCACAAGAACAAATACTCACGCCAGACCACGAAAGGTATCCTCCTCCAGTTTCTCAATACTGTGCCTCTTTGAACTGTTCATTCTTCGTAAGTATGCCGCTCCACCAAATTTGTGATCCGTAGGCCACCAACCGAAAAACCCGGAGATGATACTGAGTGAGACCAGGCAGATGATGACGCTCATCACCGTTCCTCCGACGGGCTCTGATGTGTGTAGGCCTTCGGGATTCGCCCGGGCATTCATTTCTGGAGCCGGAGCCATCGTGTCCCCGGAGAATGTGATGTCGATTTCGAGTCGGATATGGATTATTGATTCACGATCTTTCGAACATGGGAGGAGGGTCCGGTGCGAGGAAGGGCTGTTCCAAAGGGGACAGAAGAACTATATACCAAGCGCAACCGCAAGAACCGGGAACGCTAGAGTAAAGGGATCGACGGTTTTGATGTCCGAGCTACACTTCGTCTCGCAATGTCTGGGAGGGGGACACAACCGTCTTTAAGTTTCGTCCAACAGGTGATCGAAGCGTGCGTGCAGGGACGGGAGGGGGATGGGGGCAGCTAAGGTGCAGACAGCAAGCCCAATGCTGCTACAAGGATGGAGGGGGGGTGACCGATACGCTAGAGGCAAGGGGGAAGAATAGACTCATCCGCCTGTGGCTTTTTTCCCTTCTCCTCCCTCCTCTCTTTTTGGGTGTGTGCTTCTCATTCTTAGCTCGAGGGGAATGTACCCGGCGAAGTGGTCCAGCTGGATAAGTGATAGTAAGAAAACCAAGCCCACTAAGCATGAGATCAAAGGCGTTTGTTTCTGGCTCTGGCTATGCTTGGTAGGAAGCTACTAGTCTATGGTCCAAGACCGGTCACAGCTGGTTGACTCGGAAAACGCCACTTTCAAGTACCTACTAGGACTGACTGGACGTGAAGAAGTGACGGCGTTGAAAAATGCAAATGTCCTAGAGGATAGCTCCATGTAGGTACCAGAAGGTAATTCGAGTAGTAGCCCTTGGTGCAAGCCACAGGGAAGGGTATTCCAAAAAGTTCAAGATGCTCGAAGAAGAAACGGTTGGAAGACCGCTAGCTACACACACTTCGGAAAACAGCGTCTACGTGAAATGTGTACGCCCGCTATGGTGGTCTCGGCTTGGGAGCCAAGGGAGAGTTGAAGGATTCGTGAGTGAGAGACAGACAGACGTACAGTATGCCCGCCGTCCGGGCGTGCACAAGCCAAGCCCCAAATGGGCAAAAAACTGAGGAGAAGGGGAGACGGACACCTTACCGGAGGACTTCCTCTGCAGTGTCCCGAGAGGGAAGAAACGGTATCGGTATTGACTACCTTAGCAGTGCATCATCCCCAGACAAAGGTGACGACAGGAAACAAGAGCAAAAAAGGCTGTTTCGTCGCCAAGCTCATGTCACGGTGACGGGACGGAGGACGGGGGACGGGGCCGGGGGGTGACTGAGTCGAGGTGGAGGGGCAAATCGTTACGAGAGGGAAACTCTAATCCAATGTGCCCTTTATCCTGCGTATGTCGTGCGGTCTGTCTGACGGTCTCTCTGCGCTGGCCTTGCCTCTGGTCTGCATCTCTGTGCCTGCCACAGCCCACAGCTCGAGTCCGCGACAGGAAGAGCGGTTCACCGAGCGTCGTTTGGTAGTGAGTGGGTGGGTGAGTGAGAAGTCCACGCAACACTTACAAGTCTATTACTGTTCGCCTGCGTAAGTAGCTCGGGTTCTTGACCAGGAGCGGGGAGCTCGTACCCTTGTCTGGTTGGACGGCTCAACGGCGCAAGGCAGAGGTTAACTGCGACTCTGCAACGGAACAGGGTATTTGGACTCGAATCTGGTTGCCGATCCGGCCCATAAGCCAACCAGCTCCATTGAATATCGACGAACGTTTGGCCCTAAGAATTCTCCATGTCGACCAGGTGTATCGAGCGGATTTGCTATACTGCAGAGCATATTGCATGGCAGGCCTGCTTTTCCTTTCCCTCTCCCACTTTAGCTTCGTCAATGGCACCCTTCACTGGCTGAAGATTCTTGCGGGCTCAACTAGATTTGAAGATTAGCTCGCAGGTCCCCCTCCCCACCTACCTACGGTCCACCATCTCGCACAAAGACGCCGCGATACGTAAAGCTCCGCAAGTGATGGCTGTAGCATGGGCCCTTTCCCGAGCGCCTCTGACGAACAGTGTACAGCGCTACCGCTGAGCACGTCCTGATAGCTTGCGAGCGACTGTGCACATGCAGTCCGGTCTGTGGTCTATCGGTCCCGGCGAGCCGTGACCTCTGGCTCTGGGCCCTTTTGGGGAGGCTGTGGTGGAAAAAAACGGATATGTCGATGGCATTTCCCGTACTGGGAGTGTTTTGGTGCAGCGGAACGACGGAATAGACAGGGATGGAAATTCTGAGCCACAGGTTCGACAAAGAAGCTGGAGGCGCAGGAGGTGTGGATCTGAGGATACTAAGACCAAATCGCTGATTACACCACAAAGCTGGGGATGGAACCAGCATAGCCGTTCTAGGGAGCTGCCTTTTCTTCGCCGACGTGCTGGTGATTTCCCGGCGTAAACGCGACACATACGTGAGACCTGTTACTGGTCATCTCGCGCCTCATCCGGTCGTTGCCTTTCTCACAAGGTTAATCTAGCCGCTTGGCCACAATGATGTAGCCTGGCTTGGCTTACGGCCGGGTGATCGCTCGCGTCCAAAAAGCGACGAGAACATGGCAAAAATCAAAGAAGGTTTGGCAAGTCAGATCCGTCAAGAGGGCAAAAGATCCTGAATCAACGTGGTTGGAAGGAATAGAGACGAGAATTTGGCAGGCAGTCGGCCGACCGCACTGTCAGTTGGAATGACGGCCGAGACCGCTTCCTTCGGTTTCCCATGGCGTGCCCCCCCCTCCACTCCTCCTCACAGTTCGCTGCACCCCCGGATTCTGAAGAAGAAGGACATTGCTGACGATCCCTTAGAGCTAGCGGTAAGAAGTAGGTAAATGTTTGGTTTCTCAGTTTGAGTCTGTGTCAGAGAGCCCGGGCGGGCAGCGGGCATCGTGCATCATTTCGCGATCTAGGGTTCGGTTGACCGTTTGAGCTGGAAGCGTGGCATGCCGGGCCTCCTTCATCCAGCAAAGGGCGGCTTTTATTATCTCGAAATGGCTGCTATAGCCTATGGCCGAAGCACTCTTTGCCTGGGCGGCTCAAGAGATTTTGAGATCATGCGGGCACGCTATGTCGAGAGATGGCGGCCGTGTAAAACGTCCCAAGAGTCTGAAGGTGTTATTCTCGATGGTGCGGCTGACCTTGAACGCGGCAGGCACGAAGGGTTCTCTCTACCGATCTATCGGTCGAGCGTCTTCATGGCATCCAGATGATGACAACCCGACCAATCACAATCGTTGCGAGGAGAGAGCTGAGTTTGTAGCTTAGTGAACGAGCATGGACGGGTTGCTTCGGGCGCACCTGCATTTAGGTTGCCACGGATGTCGCAATGTCGCAATGTTGGTCTTGAAGAAGCAGGCATAATCCGCAAGGTAATTGTGTAAGACCTCCGTCCAGAGTTTTTTCCTGGTGTGTAAAAGACTTGGCGACCTTTCTTGTGCAAATATCCAACGAGATCCTCCATCGCCTCCTCCTCCTCCTCTTCAGAACTTCAGAGCTACCTAAGCTGACTCAGGACACCGCAGTCCAATGCGGCGTAACCAATCGAGGTCCCGGTCAGCTAAGGTCTAGCTCGGTCTAGACTCGGGCTAGTGGCTGAGATGTGGCTGCCGGCGCCGGGTATCGTGAGGCACCGTGCACTCACTGGAAAGCGTGTAAGCAGGACCGGCAATAACACCGACACCGGCACACCTCACGCTCTTCGTCGCCATCAATATAGCAGGCGACAGGTCTCAGGGGCCCTTGCCGCGCAGTAGCTGTACCTATGTCAGGCGTCAAGCGTCGAGGCAATCTGGCACTAGCCCGCCCCAAGAAGAAGCTGGAGACACTCTCTGCATCCATCGTGAGGCGGCATGCCTCACTGCCGTGGAAACGAAAGTCCAAGCTGAAGGTCGTATTCCAAAGAAATTGGGCGGTAGCAATGCAATACTCCGTAGACAATGAGCGTTCCATTCCTTGCGCGGAAGGCGGCAGACGAGGGTCCAAGGTAGTAGCGGATGCAGATCCCGTGTGCGATCCGACGGCCTCAAACCAGAGCGAATGAAGTGCGGTTGCAGTTGCCAAACGGGAAGGAAACACCAAGAAAAGCACGCGAGCGCATGGTTGTGCGAGATGTGTGCGAGTCTGCGAAGAAGCCGACACGAGAAGACGCCAAGATCCAAGTCCGAGGTATCAGAAAGAGACAAGCAGCTGCCGGGAGTTCGGAAGAAGCAAAGATGAGCAAACATTTGGTATTGTGAATACCTTACCTATCCTCAGATCGTCTACCACAAAGACCTGAAGATACGTATTGCTGGAAGGAAGATCTCTTCCTCCGCTAGTCCCCGCCCGAGGTCCCCCCGGACCCAAAGATACTGGAGCCACGCGGGTAAGAGCCCCTGTTCGCCTCGCAGCAAGCGGAGGGTCTGTGCGACGTGTCCCGGGGAAAGAACTACAGAACCAAGAAAGCAGGGGTCCCTCCCAGCTCCTCTCAGCTCCTGCTTGAATCTCGACTGACGACATCACCATTAGCCACCCAATGTCAGCCACGTCGGCAGCGCGGGGGTAACCACAAGATGCCATCCACATATCTACCCAGAGCAGCAATTTTCACCTCTTTGTAGCAATCGGGCTATACCGCTCCTGGCTTTTACTCAATCAGATCTCTCAATAGCTATGCACTATGCTTCCCTCGAGAGCCGGGCCACAAACCTTTGCGCAAACGTTCTCTCTTACGTTTAGAATGTTCGAAAAGCCTTTCACTCCTTCACTCCCTCACTCCCGTGACCAAACCAATCCGCCATCTAATCTCGTTCGCGGCCCGCCAGATCTCTCGTCGAATGCCAAGCTCGCCGGCCCGGCAAGACCGTGATCCAAGATACGCGATCCTCATTTCGGCCAGCGCCTCTTGCGGGTAGCGTGAGGTCCGAGACCTCGACCTTTTCCCCTTTCATGGTTCTACAGGAGACTAGAGGAGTACCTTGAGTCGAACCACCATCAACCATAACTCGCCGGACTGTGGTCCCCACTCACGGCACCGAAAGAAGTACCTACGACGATACGGGTAGGCATCTGTAGCTCCTGCGGCATCCCACCGGTCCGCAGAGAATAAGGTTTTCGATCACCTCGACTTTGTGTTACCTACAGTTCATCTCTTTTTTTCTTCTTCTTCTTCCACGGGATCCTATCTGGTGCACGATGGGGCCCGCCCGCTCTGAGACAAGACATTCCAGAGTAAATCCGCGAGAGCTCTCAGATGAGCACTTGCAAGGTCCCCAGCATTCTGGTTCTCGG